CAACAACAACAACAACAAAAAGAGCCAACAATCCCTTCTATCACTGGGCAAGAGATATGAATAGAACTTTTTCTAAGGAAGACAGATGAATGGCCAACAAACATATGAAAAAATGCTCATAATCCCTAATCATCAGAAAAATGCAATTCAAAACTACTCTGAGATATCACCTAACCCCAGTGAGAACAGCCCATAGCACAAACTCCCAAAGCTGTAGATCCTGGCGTAGATGTGGAGAGACGGTAACACTTTTAGACTGCTGGTAGGACTGCAAACTAATACCACCGCTTTGGAAAGACGTATGGGGAATCCTCAAAGAACTCAAATTGGATCTTCCATTTGACCCTGCAATCCCACTACTAGACATCTACCCAGAAGAAAAAAAATAATTTTATCCTAAGGACATTTGCAGTAAGATTGTTTATCACAGTTCAATTTACAATTGCCAAGACATGGAAACAACCTAAATGCCCATCAACTCAGGAATAGATTAACAAATTGTGGTACATACACACCATGGAATACTATTTGGTCATAGAAAAGATGGTGACTTTACATCTTTTGTAATATCCTGAAAAGAGTTGAAACACACTTTTCTTAGCAAAGCATCACAAGAATGGAAAATTAATTATTCAATGTACTCAATACTAATATGAATCTATATTGGGGGATGGGTACTGAGGGATGGAAGGGTATTAGAGTGCTCTCACTGAATGGGTATGGGGTAGGGGTGTCTGGCATACCTTTTGTGTGGGGGATATAACCACAAGAGGGATTCTACCTAGCAAAATCAAATATTTTGACCTGTTGTTTGTACCCTCACATTAACCTGAAATAAAGTTACTTTTCAAAAAAAAAAAAAGAAATTATTATTGGTGGCCTTTAAGAAATAATTTCAGTAGGAAAAAAGATGATTTATACTATATCTTATTGTATTTACTACAGTCTACTCTGTTTTAAAGCTATTTGAATGTAAACAATGTAAAACAGGTATTTTGTGTAATTCATCTCCTTATCTAACATGGTTCTTTAGACAAATAGAAAGTGTAAATATACATTTACTGAATTAAATTGGATAAAATTAAATTTAATTTACTTGGATTCTATTGCATTGCATTATATCGCGCCACCATAAGAACTGATAATGAAGAGTGGGAAAGAAAGGTAACTCACACAGATGATTCTTTTTAAATTTTGGGGGGCAACGGAGATAGAAGCAAGATAGGAAAAGAACAGTCGAATAGTTTTGTTTGTTTTTTGAAGCTGTTAGAAATTTGCATTTGGGCTTAGTGCCTGTAGCACAGTGGTTATGGGGTCAGCCACATACATAGAGGGTGGCAGATTCAAACCCAACCTGAGCCAGCTTAAGCCCAAGAGTTTGAGGTTGCTGTGAGCTGTAACACTCACAGCACTCTACCAAGGGTGACATAGTCTCAAAAAAAAAAAAAAAAAGAATGAAATTTGCGGGTGGCGCTTGTGGCTCAGTGGGTAGGGTGCCTGCCCCATATACCAAGGGTGGCAGGTTCAAACCCAGCCCTGGCAGAACTGCAACAAAAAAAATAGCCAGGCGTTGTGGTGGGCACCTGTAGTTCCAGCCACTAGGGAGGCTGAGGCAAGAGAATCACCTAAACCCAAGAGTTGGAGGTTACTATGAGCTATGATCCTATAGCACTCTACTGAGGGTGATAAAGTGAGACTTTGTCTCTACGAAAAAAAAGAAAAGAAAGAAATTTGAATCTGCATCTAGGTGCATGAAAAGAAAGTGGCTCTGAGGGAGAATTTGTAGGCAAAAAAGGGGAATATTGAAGGAATAAATGTCTTATATATTAGATGCTTATTAAATACTTTTCTAGAACAATAAATACTAGACCAAAGTAAGATATAAACCACTGTTTACTAAACTTCTGTTTTCAAGAAGTCTCCTTGAAACATTAGGTCCATAAAATACCCTGAAAAAAAAAAATATCATGGACAGATGAGTTTGGAAAACACCATATACTATAACCTTCTTCTGGTGGTTTCACAGTGCATATTAGTGTGTTAAATGCTATAAGAAGTCATGCAGTAAGGAAACATTACAGAAATGATAATTTAGACAAATCCATAGATGACAAGTCCATAGAAAATAACTGGGCAATGGGTATCCAAGATCCATCTCTAGCCTATGAAGATAATGTTATAGGGGACAACTATAACATGATATTGCAATATGTCTCTTAGTGCTACTTTCAAGGACTCAAAAGATACTGAACTGAATGAACCATTAGTATAACCCATGATGATATAGATTATATTCTTGGGAAGGAAAAAGAGTTGAAAAGAAATTTGTGAGAAGATACTGAAGGAATTGGGATGACTCAATCTGGAGAAGAGAAGAAGAAAATGTCAAAAAGCTACATAAAGTTCTCTCCATTGAGATCAGAACAAGATTTATTTTAATTTAATAAATTTAAATTATACAATGAAAGATTAAAATTAGATTTAAGGGGAAAAATATCTTTTGACAGAAAAAAATGTAAAAAAAATGGAAAAACTGCCTTGGCGTCTGTGGCTCAAATGGCTAGGGCGTCAGCCACATACACCTAGGGTGGCGGGTTCAAATCCAGCCTGGGCCCGCCAAACAACAACAGCTACAATCGAAAAGAAATGGCCAGGCATTATGGCTGGTGCCTGTGGTCCCAGCAACTTGGGAGGCGGAGGTAGGAGACTCGCTTGAGCCCAGGAGTTGGAGGTCGCTGTGAGCTGTGCCACAGCACTCTACCCAGGGGGACAGCTTGAGGCTCTGTCTCAAAAAAAAAGGAAAAACTAATAATGAAAAGAAATAGACTTTCTTATTTGTCATGGGTGACATAAGTATGTTCTTGCTTTGGGGCAAGAAGCCAGAAGTGATAACCTTTTGCACAATTAATTTGTGAAATTTATGGGGATGTGACCTCCCATCTTCCTTACTTGAATTTTCCCAACCATGAGTCAGCAATGGCTGCTCCCAGAATGGGAGTGAAATAACAGAGACTGCTGAAGGCGTGATATATAGATGTGGATGTATCTTCACTCCAATGCAGGAAATACAGGAAATACAGGGTCAGCACCGCTAAAGTTGGAAAATAAAAAGATAGATATATTAAAGTGATTTCTAGAATAGTATATTTAATCTCTGATATTTGAAGGTGATCTGGCTCAGCAATACCATAGGCAAAATGACTAAGAGGTGATTGCCATTCAGTAAAAGGAGGGCCCATGGGAGTTGTAGTAGTGAATGAGGATATGTTGAATGTACAATCCAGCAGTGTATAATACTCTTTGCTTCAGTCTATGGCAACCCATAGCATTACTTAGGCCAACGGTGAAGATAATAACATGGTGCTTCTAAATATCCCTTCCTTCTCTTCTTCCCAGGAACAATACAGTTCACAGATCTAAGGATCTAAGGTATGAAGAATAGGAAATACAGGAAATACAGGGTCAGCTTTCCCACTTACGTTCTTTTTTTTACTTAGAGATAGGGTCTCACCATGTTGCCCAGGCTGGTGTACAGTGGATATGTACTGATGGGATCATAAGCACATTACAGCTATAAACTCCTGGGCGCAAGCAATCCTCCTACCTCAACCTCCCAAGTTGCATGGGCTATAGGTGTATACCACTATCCTGGCTATTATATTTGCACAGGCTGTGTTCTGGTCTTGTCAGGCCTTCCTGATTTTGGCCTATATGAGTTATTAGGTAAAATCCTATGAGACATTTAAGTCTTGGCCAAAGAAAAGGACCAATTTGCACCAAGGCAGAAAGAATGGATAAGGGAAAACAGTGCATATCAAGAGACCAGCTTGTTACTAATATGGGGTGAGAATAAGTAGAGAAGAATAGGACTCTGGGACACAAAATTACCTTTCATGCCATAATAGGAAAAGCGCTCGCAGAATTCATTCACCACAATGAAGGCAATGCTCAGTGGGTAGTTGGAGCCACAGATTTTCTATGCAAGAAAAAGCAATAGTTCAAGCATGAGTTGTTTTTCCTATGTCACCACTAGATTGCTCAATTGAAAAATTCATTTTTCATAGTAGTTAGGTAGTTGGAGCCACAGATTTCTATATAAGAAAAAGGCAATAGTTTAAGCATGAGTTATTCTTCCCTATTTTGCCACTAGATTGCTCCACAAGTGAAAAATTCATTTTTCATGGTAGTGAAACACATTTTTTCTATGCAAGAAAAAGACAATAGTTTAAGCATGAGCTGTTTTTTCCTATTTCACCACTAGATTGCTACACAACTGAAAAATTCACTTATTTTAAAATGCCATGGTAGGTAATATGGGGCAATGGTCTTCCATATTACCAAGAATGGTCTTTCATGAAGGGTCTACACTTCATGAAACAGCTATAAAATTATCACACTAAAAGCACTTACATTGTTCATTTAGGAGTAACAGAAGTTAATCTTAAGATTACTTTGTTCCTCATTTATCTTTTATGATACTGCTCAGACATTCCTTGATCCTAGGTACCAGGACTTGCTCATCTTCCACAACTACTAAATCAGCAGTTCTCAACCTGTGGGTCGTGACCCACAGGAAATGTATTAAAGGGTCGCCGCATTAGGAAGGTTGAGAAACACTGTACTAAATGAAAAGCCTAGGGATATGGATGAAAGAGTAATCACACTTACTTTCTGGAATAGAATGAGGAATTATCCTATGGAGTACCTGATATCCAAGCAGTTAGATACAAATGTCAATGTCTGCTTAGCTCCATCATGAGGACTGGCCCATTTTTGTCTCCTCCTGCCCTGTTTGCCATGCTGGCAGGAATCCTGGCAATATGATGGCTTTTGCTTCAGAGGATACTAGAGCCAGCCACAGAGCCCGACACGTGTAGAGACTCCTAAAGGTAAACTGATTGATCAACTTTGACTCCGGGCAGAGAGTTCTTAAATCCAGCATAATTAAATGTCTGCTCTTCCTACTAACAAGATCCTATAATATTTTCATGATAATCCTACTGGACATTAAAAGGACTATGCTTTGATGCACTGTATCAGTCAGAATATAGGGAATGTTATGTTTTATTTCAAATTCCTACACAATAGCTCAGCTAACAAGAGAGAGAGATGGGAGATATCTGTTCTTGGCACAGGCAAATCTTATCATGAGATTTATATTGCCTCTTATTTCATAAGTAAACAGCCTTAAATTCTTTTGAACCAGAAGAGATATAACAAACTAAATACACAGATATTATAACGAACTTACATATCATTCTTTTATCCATATGGATATATATAAACAACACTCCTAAACATTAATATATGCTAATATGTGACAATAACTTGTTTGGAAGACAATAAACTGGGCTTTTTACTTTCCCAGCTCATAGCTTGGGAGTTATGCAATCTAGAGTTTAGTTAACATACTGCCACTATCTATACAACACTGTCACTGGTTGTGTTAACATAGACACTGGCTATGTTGCTTTACTTGTCTCTATGCCTCCGGCTAATACGACCTTTTGTTCCATAGTCAGAATTTAGTAAATATTGGCTATTATTACTATGTCCTTTCCATGTACAGGATTTCACTGCAAGGATTGAATGAGATAATGGATATAGAAATGCTTTAATAAGTATGTAATGCAAACCATTATTATTACTTCTTGTTTCTTTGTTCTATCTCCTGTAAACTGGGAACACATAGTAAGAGATTGGATCTATTCTGAAATATTCCTTGGTGTCCAGCAGAAGGTTCTACACACAGGGGGATCTAAGGGTTGAGTTTTTATATTGGTAAAGAAAGAACAATCACACACAGTTCTCCAGACAGGAATGCTTGCCAAGTTTCCCTGGACATTCAGATTGCTTCCTCCCCACCCTAGGGAAATTCAGAAAATGTAATGAAATACAGCAAAGTCTTAAATTCCAAATGAAGAACTTTGACTACCTCTTCCTGTTGCTTTTTCTCTTAAGTAAAAGAAGTCATTGTTCAGATTTGGTTTCAGGTGAATTTTAACGCTAAGAGAGAATAGTTTTTATATCTTAATATAGCTCAGCCCGAAGCTCCAGGGGCCAGGGAATAGAGCCAGAAGAGCAAAGCTATTCCTATCAGAAGCAGAACTGCGTCTGAGAACTCACCGGAGGTGGCTTCTTTGGAGCGCCGGGAGGTCGGTGTGGTACCTCTTCAGTGGAGACAGGTGAAAAAAAAGTTTCCTTGGACTCATTTTTCTGGAAGGGATTCATGGCTGGTTCCTTACTCTCTCTCTCCTCAAGCATTTGGCTTCAGTAGGCAGTTAGGACAGCTGCCAGGATACTGTGAAAAGGGGGACTGGGAGGGGGAAGGGGCTGGCTTCAGCAACTGGGTTTAACCCTGTGGGTGTCAGGTTCAGCAGCTGCCTGATTCAGAGCAAAGCAGGAAGCTATGGTTCAAAACAATGATTGTGTAAATGATAGAGCACAGGGAAGTGAGAACATGTCAAAGATAGAATGAGACAATGCTAGAGAATTGATAAGAAAATCTGTCTAAGAAAGATTCTTTGCAAATAACAAGTAAAAGATAGTAAATGATCTTTTTCTTGAAAGATCATGATGCCTTGAGCATAGATTAAAAGACTGATTTTAAGGTAATAATAGCTGTGATTTATTGATCATTTATTTTGTATGAGGTTAGTATATGTATATGAATTATATGTTTGTGTATACATAACACATATATATACTATTTCAATTCTTATTACTATCTTCACTTTACAGAAACTAATGTTCCAAGAGATTAAATAATTTGTTCAAAGTTGCACGGCCAGTAAGTGGCAGATCTGGAATTTTCACTATGCCATGAGAGCTGGAAAAGGTAGAGGTCAGTGTCAGCAATAACAAGGGTCATTATCCAGGTATGGGGATTACGTCAATGAGATGTAGGAATGCAGGGAAATTAAAATATATTGATAAGGGAAAGTGAGAAAGTTGTGAGATGACTTGGTTTTCATGAAGGTGATTTGGTTTTCAATATTATAACATTCAGCTGGAAGTATCCTAAGCAATTAAAGGTAGGGTTAAATAAATGAGAGAAAAGGATTGGTGATATACGCGTGGGACTCATTCTTCTCCTTTACTGAAGTCATTTTCTCACATCAAGATAAATCCATTCCTTCATTAAAAAATAAAATTTAATTTGAGTGAAAATTAAGAACCAGTTATTTCCTACATACTGTTGCAAATATTATTTTCCTTAATTTCCAGCATTGAACTCCCTAATGACTCCAGATTATAATTAGTCTTTATCAGAAGAGGAACAAAAACAAATGTGATGATGCTAGATGCATTTTATGCTGGATTATATTTGCTAAGGGAAAGAAGTAAAAGAATAAAAGAGCATGGTAGCTGTCAGTCAAAACAACAGGAAAAAGAATGGCCACAGAGGCAACATCACAAAGATTATTTTATTTGAGAATGTAAGAGTGAAAATCTGTGACTCATCCCTCACAAAATTCTTACATTACTTCTTTGAATAATTCATTGACAAATAAGGCCAGGATAAACTCTACTTTTTCCTCTCTAAACTTTAACCCAGACTTTGACCATAGCTTCTATTACACTTCTCATTTCCACTCTCTCCCACTAACATTTACCCAAAGAAGATTCCAGCTACATTTCTGACTGTGGCATTAATGATTAAGCTGTAGGAAGCATTGCTTTCTCTGAGTTTGGTTAATGACTCTGGACGCAAAACAAAAGAACAGTCATAGGTTACCAGTCAAGTTAACTAGTAGAGGCACAGATGCCTTGAACATCTAATTATGTCAGTGACTTTGCTTGCTCTGCTCTAGTTCCTCTAGAATGGCATCTGATCTGGCAGAACAGACAAAATAGTACCTGTATTCTATGCAGAGATTCATTTGTGCTCATAGGTACTCCCAAACCAAACTTTAGAGCATTGGCACTGGTTTTCTGACATTCTTTTCTTTAGATAAAACCCTTCCTTTGATTATGATAATATAATGGCATAGTATTCATAGAATCAAATAATAATCAGAATCTTAATGAAGGGAATCTTAAATATTTCCTATGTAAACTAAACTTCCCTGACAATAAGAATCATTTTCTCTCAAAAATTTTGATTCAGTAGATTTCAGTAGGGACCTAAGAATCTGTATCTTTAACAAGCACCTCTAGTAATTCTTATGCCAAACACTTGGGAAACACTGGTTTTAAATTCCTCTCATATTCTAGTCTGAAAGACATTTTAGAGGAGCTTGGAAGGGACAAAGCAAGGATGAGAACACTAGTCATACTCTAAAGCCCTTTATATAAAACCATGGTGTCTCCTATACCCTATTATTTTTCCTAAGCTGATATTAGATAGGGTAAAAGTGAAAAGATCACAAAAAGCACCTCAGATAGAAATGAGCACACATTCTCCAGAAACACAAAAGACAAAAAAGTGAAATAATTTAAATATTAGTGATAAAAGAATATTTGTGCTCTTAGTGATTACATGTTTGACATCAGATGTTTTTTAGACGTAAAATAACAAAAGAAATTGAAGTTACTTCCACTTAAATGTTTCTGGGCATGAGTGCCACCTACTCCTTCAAACTGAGTAAGTTTCCTTTGGAGGACAAAAAAGCCTTCAGTCTTCAAAATATTGGGAAGTTACCTTTTTATATTGCATTTTAATTTCGATAATCATAGAAAAAAGGCAAATGTGAAATTAAAAGAAAACATGTATTTAGCAAGGCCCCTGAATATAAAATCAACACACAAAAATAAACTGAATCAAATACCAACAAAAAAAATGAATAAGGGTATTTAAAAATGATATCAGTTATAATTACATAAAAATACCTAGGAATAAGTCTAATGAAATATCTTCTAGACTTTAATACAAAAAAATAAAAACTGTAACTGAAAGAAATTGAAGATCAAAATAAATGAAGTCATACCCATGCTTATGATTTAGAAGGCTCAGATTGTTAAGATGTCTACATTCCTTATCTATAGCTTCAATACAAAATCCCAGCAGGTTTTGTGAGTGTAGAAAATGACAAATTGACTTTTAAAATCCATATGGAAGTGCAAAAAGCCAAGAAGAGCAAGGTTAATATTAAGTAAAAATAATGATGGAGGACTGGTACTATCTAATCTTAGACCTATTTTAAACCTATAGTCATTTAAACAGAGTAGAACTGACACAAGTTCTAAAATAAGGCAACCAATGGGCTAGAACACAGTTCAGAAAAAGATCTACATATGTAACGGTTAGAATGAAGGTGATATTACACTGCAGTGGGAAAAATGGTGACATTTTCAATAAACAAATACCATTTGCATAGCCATACACACAAAAGTCAATTCTATAGAGACACAGATTTAAATGATAAAGTACAAAAAAAGAAAAGAAAAAGCTTTATAAGAACATCTTCAGGGGCTCAGTGCCTGTAGCACAGTGGTTGCAGCGCCAGCCACATGCACCAAGGGTGACAAGTTCAAACCCAACCCAGACCACCTAAACAACAATGACAACTGCATCAAAAAAATAGCCGGGCATTGTGGCAAGCACCTGTAGGCTGAAACAAGAGAATCGCTTGAACCCAGGAGTTTGAGGTTGCTGTGAGCTGTGATGCCACAGCACTATGCTGAGAATGACATAGTGAGACCCTGCCTCAAAAACAAAAGAAAAGAACATCTTAATGACTGGAGTAAGCTAAAATTTCTTAAATAAGACATAAAATATAACTATGAAAGAAATAATTTGATCTGTCGAACAATATCAAAAGTAAGAACTTTGGAGATCAAAAGACAATGTTAAGAGCAAAAAGACATCTTACAGAGTAGGAAAAAAATACTTGTATTACATAAATCTGTCAAAAGATTTGTGTCCAGGCTATATAAATAACTCTAAAATTCAGTAACAAAAAGATGGGTAAGTAAATGGAAAAAAAATCTTTATAAGATTCTAATAGATATTTCACAAAAACAGATACCCGAATAGTCAATATATCTATGAACAGATCATCAACTATATGGGTGTAAATATAGTTCATTTAACTAATCTTCAATTGATACATGTTCAGGTTTAGTCTTTTGCTATTATAAGTAGTATTGCAATAATAACATTGCACATAATTGAAATATATAAAAAATACTTTAATTTTTTGGAACTGCTTATTCACCTTCTTTGCCCATTTTTCTATTGGGTTGTTTGTCCTCTTCTTATAAATTTGTAAGGTCTATTTGTATATTATTGATAGTAATGCTCTGCTATCCTCTACATTGCAAATATTTTGCCTATTGATTTTATTTATGGACTTTTAAAATTAAATTTATATTGTAGTAAAGTGCACAAATCCTAAGTGTACAACTTCATACATTTTTATACACATGTAACTCATATAAACAACTGCCCACATAAGGATTTAAAAAAAAAATTCCTAGCAACACAGTGTTGAGAGTCCTTTATGGATAATACTGCTGCTCCCCTTCTGCCTCCCAGTCAAACTCTCCTCCCTCAAGGTAATCAGTCTTCTGTGAGTAGTGGGTGTTACCCTGAGTGGTCAAAGACTGGACAGAGATTATGCACAAACACCTTGAGCCAGTGAGGATTTGTCCCTTGCTGATGGATCTGTTAGTAAAGGAATGCAAAGTTCAGGCTATTTTCAAGTCTTCTCAGGTTTTGTTTCCCATCAGGCATTTTTGATGCACATGCTTTAGGAGTGTATGAATAGTTTGGAGCATCTCTGGTCTCTGTAGCATGTGTACACAGCCTCAGCCTGTGTAGAATGTGTCCACAGCCTCAGCCTGAAATATGTTTGCCCAACTAGGATAGCACGTTCAGGCTAACAGGGCCAATAAGCCTTTCGCCTTCTCTCTCTGGCCAGCATCTGAGAAGTTACTTCCATTTAAATGTTTCTGGGCATGAGTGTGACAACCTATCCTTCAAACTGAGTAAGTTTCCTTTGGGGGACAAAAAAGCCTTCAGTCCTCAAAATATTGGGAAGTTATCTTTTTATATTGCATTTTAGTTTCAACTTTTGCATTCTTCAGTTCTTAGTTTTGACCAACTCTTAATAAATTGGAAATTACTAAAATATTACAGGAATGATTTGTGAATATTTCCTGAATTCTGACATGTCTAAGAATACCTTCTTACTAAACTATGGATGGCATTTGATGAATGCACAATTCACAGGTCACACTCATACCCTTGTACAGATAGTGCTTTATTACCTTTAGAGTGCAGTGTTGTGGAATAGTCCAAAGCCCTTTTTGTTCCTTTGTAGCCAACTTTTCCCGCTTGCATGCTTTTATTATCATCAGTTTAATCAAGCCAT